TTTTAATAGTTGAGCACTGAACTAGACACTGAGGGAGACTCTAGAAATGTGAAAGACAGTCCTAGCCATCAGATATTATGATAGAGTAGGAAAAATAAATGACAATCATATGATAGGCACCCTAAGTGTAGTATAGGCAAATGTTAAAAGAATTCAGAGTGGGGTAGAAAGAGCAAACATATGGAGATCTTCCCTAACTGGGGTGATGAAAGGAGAAGCTTTGAAGGGTGGCCAGTTAGCTCAGGTGGTTATAGAGTATGGGCTCATAACACCAAGGGTGCTGGTTTGATCCCCACATGGGCCACTGAGCTGCACCTTCCACGACTAGATTGAAACAACTGCTTGACTTGGAGCTGATGGGTCCTGGAAAAATACACTGTTCCACAATTTTTTTTTTTTTAAAGGAGAAGTTTCAAGGAGAAGGTGACATTTACGATGAATGTTGAATAAAGGGTAATCCATTAGGTAGAGGAACAGTGGAAGCCAGTATTTCCATTTGATGAAATACAGTAAGCAAGGATAGAAAAGTGCAAGTTGTGATCACAATGCTGAGCAAACTCCATAGACTAAACCAGAGCCAAAGGAAGTAATGGTACATACAGCATAAAAAATTACATAACACATTATAGAAATCTGGGAGTATCAGACTGTTTTGGCCTAAGTGAGCCCATTTTCTCATCGTTTCCAGTTTCCATGTTTATGTAAGTTTTATACATACATGTATATATGCACACAGTGCTTGTTTTGCACCTGGGTTCCCCACCACTTATTAGTTGCGTGACATTGAGAAACTCACTTAATTTGATCTTCAGTTTCCTTGTTGGTAAAATGGACCTCATACAGTTGTTGTGACAATGAAATGAGATAACATAAAAAAGCATGTAGTACGATACCTAGCATATAGTAGGCAGCTATTTTTGTGGAAATTGTGTACATAAAGTTATATACAACATTGCTAATTTAAAACATTTTATGCTTTTGTGGCAACACTTTGAAGATTATAATCATAATTCCTCAGACAGCATTTCGGGTGTTGAGGGTCTCAGAGAACCTGTCGCCCTCGTGGCATTCTGGCTTATTCACGTTCATGTATTCGCGTGTCGGAGGTGTAACAACCCCCGCTGCTTCTTCTGTCCTCTCTTCCACATCTGAGGTGGAAGCCACCGTTTATGCTGTGGTTTTGTGTTTATGTGTTGCCTGATCTTCTAAGCTGACTTTTCTCTAGTAGATACTCTAGGGAATTGTTGGCTTAACCTGATTTCAGAAGCCCAGCATGTGACCTTGCTGCCCTGCTTATAAGTTAATTTCTCATTCTGCTTTAATGAGAGAATTTCCACTTGTAAGAGGGCATGTGCTTTGGTACTCCAGGATCTTCATAGTCTGCTGCTGTATCTTTTTTTTTTTTTTTTGCTTTATCTGTCATTACAACCTAATGTTCTAATCCAGCCTAAGAGGTTTACTCAGTGTTTCTGATCACAGCATGCCTGCTGCCTTATTAGTTGTATTTGGTCTCAGTGATACAACCCCTTTCTGATAAAATTAGGAAAAGATCCCATGCCCAGCTGACAGTCCAGGTTGGAATCTTTGTTCCATTTATGTATTTGCTGTGCAACCTTTCGCAAATCATAGTCTAGATCAGGACTTTGTCATGATATTCAAATGAATCAACTATAAAGGATTATTCTATTAACATTGGATTGTAATAGAAGTAGGAATATGATTATCCACCATAAAGATAAGTAAAACTTTTATTCTTTTAATACTTTGAAAGTTTATTGATAAATTTTAAAAACCAGCTGAAACAATTTTATATCATTAGTAATTTTTACACTAACTTTTATGACTTAGGTAATTATCTGAACAATATTTCAAAAATATTCAAAAAATTAAATTAGTTATAAATGTTCATGATCAAAATATTAAATCTTTTGGAGTAGAAGAATTCTTATCTGTTGAAGCACTGTCAACTATATAAAAAGGCTGGGGAATTTTCATTTACTTGGAAATTTTTCTTTTCTTATACTTTATAGAAGCTATTCACTAGACTTAAAAGAGAAAGTCACATTTTTCTCTTCATTGGTTTCAGAAGGGCTTATATATTCCCCCATGACAATATGGATCACCCCAAAGTTTTAGGATGGTACTCACCGTATTATGGTATATATAGTAGTGAAAAGAGCATTTTCACTAAGAAAAAAGCATTTGACCTGAGCCTTTGCGTCTGACACTAACTTAGTAGCTATGTGACCTTAGACAACTTTTTCAACCTTTCTTATTGAATTTTCTTATCCCACCCAGCAAAAATTTCTCGTCAGCTTCATAAATAGTTGTGATTCTCTTGAGTAACTGGTTGATTTTAATCTTAAAGCCATTGTAACTCAGTATAGTGAGCAGATTGTCCTGATTTATGTTGACTGCTAAAGAGCTTAGATAAAATGTGACTCATCTATAGCAAATGCACCCAATTTGATGGCGTTCACTGAACTTTGTACTATCTTAACCTCATTCCTGGCTCTGTCTAACCTCCTTAGGCTTGCTTCTCTTTAGCTTGATTTTGCTAACCTGTATTTCTTTTTTTAATTTTTTTTTATCATTTTAATCTATGGCATCTGTCTTCAGTGCTTCCTGGGACAACATTCAACAAACTAAATAATGCCTACTTCTCAGAGCTGTTGTAATATAAATAGTGAGTGATATACATTGTAGGTGTCCATAATTTTTTTTCTTTTTTTTACTCAATCAAAAAACATTGGTTGTAGCTGCTTTGAACTGAGGAAAATTTAAATAGAATTTGGTTTTAAAGAGAAGATAAAGTTTCAGAAGAGTAGATTGGTCTATTGCCTGGTGTCCAGAAGTTTTCTGTGGTTTATGTGAAGATAAATGAGTGTGTCTGGAAGATTCTTTTCCTTTTAGCCTTAAACATGGTAAGATACTCAGGTTACTCATCTGTATGAAGGCGTTCATCCATCTTATATGCATTTTATGTTCACAGGGTCTTAGAAATGTATTAATAGAGTTTTCTGGTAAATGTGATGTGTCTTTGTAGAAGATATTTTAAGGATAGTTTCTTTGGTTTAAATCATGTATTTAAATGAACTAGGTATAGACAATGGAATTAGATGTTTAGAATTTTTATAATGGTGCTAACGATTGTCTTTTAACACGCCTTGAATTTGTAAAAGAAAATCATTTAGCTGGTGTATGAGAACTGCTCCATGAACTCAGAATTCAAATATCGTCACAGCTAGTAGTTTATAAGTTAATTACTCAAACATCCACCTGCTATTAGTAGAAAGTATAGCATCTTCCTCTTGGAGTTTCTACTTTCCCCTAAATTGTCCCAAGAACCTCAGTGGCTTACATACCCAATATGTGGTGTCACGTGTGTCTGTGTATGTGAAAGAGTCACACAACAGTCTGCTCAGTGCACCACGGCACCTCCCTGCCACATGGTGGTGGTGTCAGAAACCAGCCTTGTCCTGTCCAACAAGGTGCAGCTTCACTGTTGCTCCAGACGCCTGTGCCAGCCACCATGGTGCGTCAGGGAAGGATGGCCTCCCTATCCCCTTCCTGTGCTAAGCTCAGGGCGGTCTAGGCTGCTCCATGGTTGAGATCCCAAGATTATAGCCAGTAGCACTCAGCTCTTTCAGTTCATATCACAGATGCCTCTACACTGTTGCTCTAAAAGCAACACGAGCATTGCGTCAGGACTGGTCCTAACATCTACCACCTCATGGCCTCAGAACCACATTTCCCTTCCCACAATGGGCTCCTATGCCATTATCTAAAAAAAAAGTCCTTTTTTCTGAAAACCTCTGAGTTATTCAGCCATCCTGAGTAAGGACTCCAGGAGATCTTATCCCAGCCCTACGAGGAAGGCTACCAGCAGTCACTCAGAGGAGATCCACCCTTCTAAGAACGATTTCCCAGTGATCCCCAGGGTCTTCATACCTACTCCTCTTGGAGGTAGTGATTCCAAAGCCATTTTCTGCCTTCTTCCTCTTAGCTGAAGTGGGGAAGAAATTGAATTGACTTTCTGGCAGGGTATCCTGCTCCACATGTAACCAATTTCAAATGGAAGAGCAAGGTTTAGATGATTTATATTGCAAGAGCCTTCATGTTTAAAATGAATGAAAAGAGACATGAGCAAGCGAACAAATGATGAATTTAATAAAATAAGTATGAGTTGGGTGTGATGGAAATACAAAACAAGCTATTTCAACAACTTATGGGAAAGGTTTCAAATGATGGATTATATTAGCATCTCAGGTTACTAGAATAGAGACTTTTAATGTTCAGGATTTTTATTTAAATAAACACTGTTTCTGCCACACATACCTCCCACCATCCCTGCAAAAGGAGAATAAAAGATACAGAACTCCAGAACAGGAGTATCCAGTACCCCAAATTGGAAAACAGTGTTCTTTCTTTAACACAGTGTTGCAGAGGAGTAATCAGTTCTCAACTCTTCTCATCAAGTTTGCTTTCAGAGTTTATGGAACTAAGGAGCTGCCATGGAAATCATAAAACGGAAGCCATGATTTAATATGACTTAGTGAAGACTTTTGCTGTGAGTCCCTCTAGTCACAGCCGCGCCCCATTCAAATGGGGACCCTGTCCTAACCTAGATAATGAGGCTGCTAGGCAAGGGACGAGTCTCATTTTGTATCACTCTCTACTTGGTGCTCTAGCTGCAATTTATTAACAGAGTTGCTTTTCCTATACGTATACCTGTCTATTGCAGATGTTATAATAGCTCATTTTCTTTGAGATTAAGAATGCCTAATGATTTTCTTTTCTCCCCTGAAAGCAAGCTTGTTGCTTCTTCTAGTGTTATAATTTTAATATTTTGTGTTTTGTGTTTGTTTTGAAATAGTGTAGGTGAAACCCATTCAAAAGAGGAACTGGGGAAAGATTGATTATATCAGAACAAGTTATGTTTGGGCTGTTCTGCTCCAATTGAGATGGATGTGCTCAGTGGTTATTTTTGTGTATTACAGGCCTTTCGGGAGGACCTGGAAAGCCTTATTCAAGAACAAATGAAGAAAGGCCACAACCCAACTGGATTACTAGCATTACAACAGATTGCAGATTACATCATGGCCAATTCTTTTTCGGGCTTCACTTCACCTCCTCTCAGTATGTCAGTTTTGGAAAGTTTTAAAAATTATAATTTTATCTCTGCCTTGAACACTGTACATGTCTAGCATCATATTCTGCTCTGCTTCAGTCCTTAAGTTTAGACATCCCTACTTCTCACAGTAACATAGTGTTAGAATCTCTTACTTTTTCATATCAACCAGGTGTTTACTGGATTTTGTGCAGATTACAGATAGTTATAAGGCATGGTCTCTGCCCTAGATAAGTGTGTATTTTAGTTGAGGAGACATACATGAATGCAGAAAACATTAAAACTGCAAGATAGCTATAGAAGAAAAATCACAAAACAGTTCATAAGAAATTGTCTAATGACCATACAAGTCATGCTATGGACTCAGAGTTGGAATTGATTAATGGCTGAAGTAGACTGAGAAAGCTTCAGGAAAGGAGAGGCCTGAACTGCCCAGGTTTAGAGGATGGAGTATGTAGAACTTGGGGTTAAGGAGGAGTTAGGACATTGTATTCATTAATGGCTTTTGGTGAGAGCACCAATTCGGTGAGCTTAATACTGTAAGGACACCAGTAATCATAAGGGATGAGTTCACACACTCGGCATCTCAGCGAGATGTGTACGGAACTTACTGCAGAACCAGGCAGGTACACGGTGCCAGAGGGGACGCCAGGGACCACTTCACGTCCAAGTCCAGGGGTGAGGCTTCATGTCAGAGTCGGGGCATTTTCTTTTCCTCCTTTTTATTTTTTATTTTTTTATTTTTTGTTTGGAATTTTGTTTCACCTTCTTCCTTTGTTTCTTCTTTCCTTGTTTTCTTTTTGGTTAAAGATTTGTAAATAGAAGTTCAATGATTTCTAATACTTTCCAAGTAGAGGAATGGCATAAAAAGAGACATGATAGCAGGAGCATGCAAGGTGAGGATGTTTGTAGAGCTCTAATGGGACAAGTATGTAGACATACATACCAGTTACAGAATCTGAAAGAGTCCCGATGTGAGGGGCAGGTACTTGAACTAAAGTAGTGGTTGTGGTACAAGAAGAAAGAGATCAATGAAAAAGGTATCGCCAAGGAAGAGTAGAGATTTAGCAACAGGTTTGATGCTCGGAGGGTGGGGGGCGGGGGGAAGGACAGTCCTGAGAAAAACAACGAGTTCTAAAATCACTCACTCTTCAGAAGAAACAGAAAAATTCTAAGAGCAAGTTCGGTTTGCTCTTTCTGCAATGCTGAGTATCTGTTACGTGTCAAGTACCCTGTTAGGGATAGGAGATACAGCGATAAACAAGACAAGATTCCTGTGCTTGTAGAGAGAGAAAATAGACTAAGTAAGTAGAGAAAAGGGTCAGATAATAAATGGGAAGTGCTGTGCAGAGAATTAATATATGGTGATTTGATAGGAGTAACTAGGTGACTACTTTCGATTGGGTGATCAGAGAGCACCTCTCTGAGGAGGTGACATTGAAACTGAAGTCTGAATTGCAAGGAGCAGTCCATATCAAGATGGAGGGAAAGCATTCAAGGTAGAAGGAACAAACACAAGTGTCAGGCGGGAATAAGGTGAGAATGAGTTTAGCGGCCTCTTCAGAGCATGGCTTTTGAGGGGACAGCAGAACAAAGTGAGGTCAGAAATGTAGGCAGAGGCTATGTTATACAAGGGCTTCTCGGCCACAGTTGGAAGTTGGGATTTTATTCTAACTTTGAAAAGCCATCTTAAGCAGGAGGAGATGTAGAAAGACTCCTATAGATTCTGTGTAAAGAATTAACTGGGCGATTTCACAGTATTATTAGACAAAACTAGGACTGTCCAAAGTTGGAGATCTAGGTCAGCTTGGGGAAAGGAGGAAGTTCTCCTATAGGCGTGCCAGAGCGGCCAAGAGAGTTGCCAAGATACTGCAGCTCCTGGAAATGCAGCCCTACAGTTGCAGAGACTGGCTTGGCAGGTGGACATAGAGAAGGGTTATTCAAAGCTATGGCTGTCAATTAGATAATCATACAAGAATGTGTAGACCGAGAGGAAAAGAGTCTAAAAAGAGAGTTTCAAAAGTTAGAAGTCAGGGAAGACAAAAGGAGCTATCCTGTGAATGTCCTAGATCCCACGGCGGGAAGAGGGCTCCAGGGTGCTGGCTGGGATGTATTAATACAAAGGTGTGGCAGCAGGAAAGCCATGGCCCAGTGTCCAGAGGTCAGGGAGGAGAAGTCAGCCAGTTTGGCTGGAAAAGTTATGTTGTGCTGTGAAAGTGGAAGTTAAAGTTGGAAGGGCAGGTTAATGGTTGACTTTGAAACTTTATCAGAAATTATACTATTCTGTATGGTTTATATATTAAAACTATTTGAATTAGTTCGCAACAGTTTAGAATTAGAAGATCTCACATGAGCGTGTTCACATGGGATTTCCCTTTAAACGTGCTGAGCGCCCTGGACTCAGATTTTCTTGTGGCAGCAGCCGACTGGGTTGTTGCAGCTGCCCCTTCAAACCCGGCGTGCACTTTCTAGCAGCCTACAGGCTGCACCAGGCCCGGTTTACACATTTACACTAATTTCCTGGCCCCTGTCGGCTTTCAAGTTTGGGGCTCCTGCAAAACTTTGAGCAGGGGAATAGTGAGGTTACCAGTGGTGCTTTAGGAAACTCAATCTGATGCCTTTATGCAGAATGGATTTATAAAGAGAGGGCCTACAGGCAAGGACAAGAACGAGAAGGCTATTGCAAGGGTCACATGTGAGATGGTAAGGCCTGAACTTGAGGATGGAAATGAGGGGCCTTGTGAAGAAGAGAGTGACGGAACGTGGTGATCAATTACATATGGTGGCCCAGGAAAGGGTAAGACGTAAAGGTTACTTACTGTTTGAGCCTGCGGGAACTGCGATGTCATCAGTATTAGAAGAATAAGGAGAATAAAGAAGATAAGAAAAATCAGAGGACACAACATCACTTTTAGACCCTTTTTATGTTATTGTGTTGCAGTTAGAAACAACAGGCTGAAGAACAGTCAGGAGGATCTGGTGAGAGGTGAAGGTCATGGTGTCATCTTGCACAGAAATAGCAGTTTGGAGACTTAAAACTATATAATGTTTTCATGGGGAAAAGTAAAATGAGAAAAGAACATAATGGAGGACTGAGCTTTGGGAAAGAGCCACAATCTGGGGGAAGGAAAGCGAAGAGAACGTGTTGAGGGAGAAAGAAGAAACAAATGAAAAGGGAACAAGAGGTCAAGGACAGGATCACACAGGCATGAGGAAGAATTGTGGGAAAGAGGCGGTAAATGATGTCACGGAGATTGAAGACAGCAAAAGTTGAACTTGGTGAAAGCTGAACTTAGCAATTGAATCATTAGAGCCGAGGACTAGTTTTTGTTGTTTGGTCAGGGCAGAAGCCAGACTACTGTTTGAATGTATGCTTTTCCATCTTAAATATTTTTTTGTTTGACTAAAAGTCAAGAGATATTAGAAAAATAGCTTTCTGTTGAGATCTTTTCATCATAAAATGAGCAATAATCTCAGTATTAATCACATTTTCACCAATGGGATCGTGACCATTTTCCCGGTGGTATGAGCCTAGCTCCCTAACAAGCACTAGATGAAACAGCAAAGGAGATAGCTGATGTGTGCTTTTACTCTCAGTGTGTTTCTCTGAAGGAAGATAAGCTAATGAAACATTGTGTGGGCTGATAAGTTTCAGATCATTATTTACAAAGCTGGACACTCCCAGACTCAGGCTGCTTCCTGGCAGCTAGTTTCCTGGTAAGGGATTAGTTGACCTGAACCTCTCTCCACAATTTTTCCTCTTTTAGGTCTCGGCATGGTGACACCTATCAATGACCTTCCTGGAGCAGATACATCCTCCTACGTGAAGGGAGAAAAACTTACTCGTTGTAAACTCGCCAGCCTGTACAGACTTGCAGACTTGTTTGGATGGGCACACCTGGCAAATACCTATATCTCAGTGAGTTCTTTGGCTTTCTGTTTTTGTTTTTTAAAAATCTCAACTAGAAAGCAAACTCTTCTCTTCCCACCTTTCCCCAGTCCAGTGTGCAGACTTTATTCTCTAAACCTAGCATGCCGGATCACAACCTAATCCTGATTTAAACCTTATCTCCAAGAGAGAGGCTGCAACTGCCCCAACTTTCTTCTCATTTACTGTCTGTCTTGTTCTTTTCATTCAGAGCGGCTGTGGAGCCTGCCCAGGAAGTTACCCTCTGGTGGAATTTTCTCTCTCCGTGTTAGTTACATTTGAGCTTCACTGACATTGAAAAGCAATGGGGCAGGAAAAATAGAGTCGGTCGGGGAAGTTTCCTCCCTGGTCTTTATTTTTTAAATATATTTTTCCATTCATGGTCATCTTGTTTTCATGTTGCCATACTTGGAAGCAAGACAATATTTGGAACCAAAATTTACGAAAATACTGTGATGGAAATAGCATAAAGGGGAAGTGTGGCCTTCCACTAGCTTCTCTTTCGCCCAGCCATTTCTGTTTCCCCTTCTCCACCTTAACTCCTTCCTAGGAAGAGACTCGGTTCTCTTTCTTTTGCCCATATTCCCTTAATTTCCATGTTGTAAATGAAGATAAAATCATTACCACATTTGGCTGAATAATATTGGCATTTGTTTCGCATGAATGTAGCTGACCCTGAACCACCTTAGAACCTCCAAAATAACATGTTGGGTAAGTCCAGTCGATGAGAAACTGATGTCAGAATTTGTTAGCAAGTACTTGAGGGCTGAGGGGAAGAAAACTTTTCAAGGAAATTTCATGTTGCACACCTTTCATTTCTGCTTTGCTTTTTTTCTTGATCTCTTATAATTATTTATTGTAAATATATTCCTAGTCATGTTTACACTACAAAACAGGAACACCTCATAGTAATTCCCTATTGTCTTTTTTTTCTCTTTCTCCCAGGTAAGAATAAGTAAGGAGCAAGACCACATTATTATAATTCCCAGAGGCCTGTCTTTTTCTGAAGCCACAGCCTCCAATTTGGTATCATCTTCTTTCCTATGTTATATTTTCTGTGCTTCCTTGTGCTTTTCTGGCAGTTTTTTAGCTTTTAACATAGGATGGAACGATAAAAGCTATGGATAGAAAAACATTTGCTAGTGAATAGGAAAGAGTTTGGAAAGTTGTGTTGATTTGTAAGAAAAGCTTTAGGGTTCAAGAAAAACAGGGCAGTGAACGAGACTGATGATGGGTTGATCTTATCACTTAACCCATCCATGTTTTGAAGTTAATCTTTTAATTTTTTTCTACCCTGTCCACTCTGGAATTTGTTTTTAAACAACATACACACACGCACGGAGTCATTGTTTATTTTATAGATAGAGTTAAACAAGGTTTGGGGTGTGAGTATGGGTCTGCCCTTCCAGCATTTTTTTTTTCCACGACTGTCCTAGCCACTGCCATCGGTCTCCAGAACAGCAGGAACCCCATTGTTCCCGGTACTGCGCTGTTAGCAAATGGGGATTTCCCAGCCAGCGCCGTAAATGCCAGGCTTGTCCAGACCTTTGGTGAAGAGCTTAAGTTACTCAGTTTCTTGGAAACTGTGCGTCTTGCTAAATACTAAGTTTTGTTGCAAACTACCTATTTTTGTAAATAAAGTTTTATGGGAAAAAGCCAAACCCATCCTTTTATAGTTGTTTATGGCTGCTTTTGTGCTGCAGTGGCAGAGTTCAGAAGTTGCAACAGAGGCCCACAAAGTCTAAAATGTTTACTGTCTGGCCTTTGACTAAAGAGTTTGCCTATGTCCTTGGTGTAGCTTATGGAACACAGGTAACTTTGGTACGTGCGTACCAATTCAGTATGCCTTTCTGATTTTTCCAGGTGAAAGTCAATATAATAGGAGAAGTGGTTGATCAGGGAAGCACTAACTTGAAAATTGACCATACAGGATTCAGTCCCCACGCTGCAATCTATTCAACACGCCCTGATGTGAAGTGTGTGATACACATCCATACCCTTGCAACAGCAGCTGTAAGTCACTGAAGGGCCCAAACCAGCAATGACTCTGCGAAGTGTATTGTTTTCATGGCTTTCCTTGCGTGATACTCTACTATCTGCATCCTTTCAGACCCTGCCATGTAAAATAATATTCAAAATATGAATCCTCTGCATACCCAGAAAGCAAAAGGCCCTTTGAGCCAAATGCTACCATTCTAGGAAACAACTAGAGATAGCATTTGCATTTTTGAACTAGTCAGTTTCATAATTGGGTCATTGAGTTATTTGGAGCAAAGCTTTTTGTGTAATATTTGGCACAGCATTTAAATTGAGTTGTATCCTCTAAGTCCTTTTTTTTTTTTTCCTGGAAGAAGCAAAGAACTAAAGTGAGAGGTGGGCTGGAATGGCGAACGCAGTGAATAGGCCAGTGCTTCCTGAGCTGACTGAAGAATTGGTGCGGTGAAAATGTGGTTAGTAACTGAATATGTTGTCTTGTCCGGGACCCAATCCTACAGGTATCTTCCATGAAGTGTGGGATCCTTCCAATTTCTCAAGAGTCCCTGATCCTGGGAGATGTTGCCTATTATGACTATCAAGGGTCGCTTGATGAACAGGAGGAGAGAATTCAACTGCAGAAAGTTCTGGGGCCAAGTTGTAAGGTATGTAGTAGAGTTTCTATCTAAGGAGCTATTTTTGTTGCTGCTGCTGTTGATGAAAACAGTGTGAGCTATGCCAGTTATTCACAGTGATTGCTTTGGGGTTCTATTTTAGGTGCTGGTACTTAGAAATCATGGTGTCGTAGCCCTTGGAGAAACGGTTGAAGAGGCTTTTCATTATATTTTTAGTGTGCAGATAGCCTGTGAGATTCAGGTAGGAAAAATTCTACCACCACCCCCACTTGATTTTTTGCTTTGTTATTTGCTTTTTGTATTGGGTTTTATGCTTACTTATTTCCAAAGTCTTATTGGTCAGTAGCTTTTGTTTTTTTGTTTATTTTGTTGTTGTTTTTGTTTTTTTGTTTTTCTGAGTTTACAAAACCTGGTTTAATTCAGATCTGCAGAGGGGAGGGGAGCATTTTGTGAAAATACACGTGCACAGAAATCTAATCAACACTCGACAAGCAGTGTATTCGTTTCCAGTATAACGGGATAGCCACAAATCGAAGGCTCAGAATGAGTCCATCAGGGGTAAACACAGTTTTATATTTGGCTTAAGTGGCTGGTGAACATCAAGTGGTGCTCAGTTCCTCCAAAGCATCTAATGACCACCCCCAGCCTTGGAAGGAGTATCACCACAGTCTCAGAAGAAATCCCAGTAATGCCTTGAACGCCTTTGGCCCTTGGGAGCCTAAATACAAATGCAGGTGGGGGATTTCCAGAGGCCACATATTATTTGGTGGCTTTTGTTTTATTTTGTCTTTTAAGAGAAGTTCTGCTTTTCTTGAGTAAAAAGAGTCAACTCAGTTATCACTTTAATTAAATATAGGAGGAAAGAAAATTAAAATTCACATATAGACACACACACAAATCTAAAGTGCCTCATAAACATCATTTTTTTCATAATCCTACTTTTTTATATATATATATAAATTGGGGAATTTGGGGAGGGGAACAGTGTTGGGGAATTGGGGAAGGGGACCAGCCAAGCTGTTGTTCTTCAGTCTTAGTTGTGGAGTGCGCCAATCGCCACCTGGCTGCCTGTCGGCAGTTCGTGGCCTCTAAGCTCAAGGTGCTGTGTTACAATCTTAGTTGTGTGTGGACGTAGCCACCACCCCATGGCGGGCGTCGAACCAGCAGCCTTGTTGTTAAGAGCACACACTCTATCCACTGAGCCATCCTTGCGGCAGCTCAGCTCAAGGTGCCAAGTTCAGTCTTAGTTGCGGGTGGGCATAGCCACCATCCCATGCGGGAATCAAACCGGCAGCCTTGTTGTTATAAGCGAACGCTCTATCCACTGAGCCATCTGAGCGGCAGCTCAGCTCAAGGTGCCGAGTTCAGTCGTAGTCACAGACGGGCATAGCCCACCATCAAACAGGCAGTCTTGTTGTTAGGAGCACATGCTCTCAAAAGCTGAGCCATCCTGCCACCTTTTGGCAGCTCAGCTCTGGCGCAGCGTCACTGGCCCATATGGGAATTGAACCGGCAGCCCTGTTGCTCAGAGCTCACGCTCTTAAGCTAACTCTTCACCAACTGAGCCACTTGGCCAGCCAATAATCCCACTTTTTAAGATAGCATAATTGCACATTTCTCCATTTTCACCCTCTACTGGTGTGGTGCTAATTGAGACACAAAGGCAACCACCAGTCATCAAAGATCAGATGTGTTATGGCCACGTTTATAAAAAGTGTGCGAGCGGGGCAGAAGTTTTATGAATTCATTCAGTTTCCAGCGATCCCACAGCCGCAGCCTCATCATTATAATAGGTTGAATATTTATTAGCCAGTTTTTTTCCTCAGAGAAACTAAATGTATTTTATGGCCCTCATTTCCCTCTTCAAGAAAATCAAGCAGGTTCTCTTGAAGCAAATGGTAATAATATTAATTTATTGGAAGGGCCACCAAAAAGAGGGAGAAAACCAAAAACACAATTTTAACTTGTCTTAACAGCTTTTTTTTGGCTTTAATGCAAAATTCTACTCAAATGAGGTTATGAAAGCTTAATTACAGTAAGATAATGAGCTGACTTCTTCTGCCTAAATATCCTTAAATTCGCAGTATAGTGTTTATATTCCTCTAAAATTATAACTTTCATTAAAAGTATTAACTGGATAGCCATGGGAAAACTACAAGAAAAGAACTTTAAATTTTGGCAAGAGAATTCCGTTTCTTGAAATATGTTAAAAGATATGTTTTCCGTCAGGGAGGATCAAAGCCCTGGCAGGTATCTTTCAGATCGACAGAAAAGATACTCTAGCTGCCTACTTTCTGTTTTTGCTGTTAGTAACCTGGACAACTATTAGCTATTTGCAGAATGAAAACTGTGCCTTTTTATTATAAAAGTAAAATACTCATAGTCTACAATCTAGTGCCTCTGTCCGTTTTGCCTCTGATTACAGGTGCAGGCACTCGCTGGGGCAGGCGGAGTGGACAATCTACTGGTACTGGATCTGCAGAAGTACAAAGCTTTCACTTACTCTGTCGCAGCGTCTGGAGGAGGAGGAGTGAATATGGGTTCCCATCAAAAATGGAAGGTTGGCGAGATTGAGTTTGAAGGGCTGATGAGGACGCTGGACAATTTGGTAGGTGAAAAATGGGCCATAAACTTGGATTTCCTATCTTCAGGTTCAAGAGCAGATGCTTCCGTCTCCCTTTGGTTTGGGAATGTGCTCCTAACTTCGCTGGTAGCAGTTTGACCCTAGGAAGGCATTCAGGTGTAACCTTACCGCATTTTTAAGAATCAAACAGTGAAACATGCAGATGTCATCTTATTTATCTTAGATTTTACCCTTCAGGCCCAGGAACAAAGACTTAAATGAGCACTGCGATTCGGCCTCCAGAAAACTAGTTTATAGCTAGGAAAATGTTTCTGGTCAGCAGTTTTGAAAGTACCTCTGTCAGGAACAGTTGTGTGAGTGGAAATCACATTGTCAGCTGGAATCGGTTTTGACCAGATCTTGAAATTTCCTTAATTTCAACTCTAGTGTAATGTGGGGTCTGGAAGGATGTTTTTCCCCTTTATTTGTTTTTCAGCAGAAGAGTCTTTGAATCATTTGTTTAAAGAATTAGAGTCCAGATGCTGTGTTTGTTTGGTACAGGTTTGATTGCTTCAAATGTGGCTTTTCCCTCCCTCAGGGGTATAGAACAGGCTATGCGTACAGGCATCCTCTCATTCGAGAGAAGCCCAGGCACAAGAGTGACGTGGAAATCCCAGCAACTGTGACTGCTTTTTCCTTTGAAGACGATACAGTGCCACTCTCGCCTCTCAAATACATGGCACAGAGACAGCAGCGGGAGAAAACAAGATGGCTGAACTCGCCAAATACTTACATGAAAGTGAATGTGCCAGAGGAGTCTCGGAATGGAGAGACCAGTCCCAGGACCAAAATCACAGTATGGCTCTATTTTCCATGGTTTGCCTTTACTGACTCGTTTGCCTATTCAGTAACTCATGAATTGAACGTTCTATGTTGAAAATATTGGGAAAGTAGAATATAATATTAATAATTTTATCACTGTCATTTATCATGTTTTAACTTTGTGCAAGGCACTCTGTCCTAAGTGCCATACATGAATTAGCTCTTTTAATTCTCCTAATATGGAGAGGATGCTGTTTTTCTCCTCCATTTTACAGGTGAGAAAACTGAGGCACAGAGGGGTTAACTAATCATTTGTGAATGGTAAAGTCAAGATTTTGAATAGATGGTCTGTCTGACCCAGTTCTTACCCACTACATGATACTGCTTTGCAGTTTTTATATTGTAAGAGTGAATCAGGACTCTTAAAAGTTATCAACACCTCATGGTGCCACCGTGTCAGGAATCACTTCACATAGCTACCCTTATGAAGATCTAGAGAAATGGGTTATCTTATCTTTTTCAGCATTTTGCTTCAGATTTAGTTTAGTTTTGGAGTGCTTATCACCAGATATTCCCTAGATACTCAAAATTAGTTAATCTTATCATATAAATCAGTAACATTTAATATGGAAATGTCTAGGCATCAGAGTGCTTTTTCCCTAGCCTATAAGATTTATCTCCTTGAAAAAGAACATGATTTGACTCAAGTTTCCCAGAATTAATTTTATGGACAGAAACTGATGACCAGCTGTCATTAATCTTGATATTAGCCTTCTTAAGGAATACAATGTGGGGTAAATGAGAAGAATTCTATAAGGCTCTTCCATCCCTGTGGTTCTGTTATACTATAGATTGCTATTAGATTTTTCCCTTTGTAAAATGCTGGTCAGGGGCTCGGCATTTTCTGTCAGCCAAAAATAAAAAATGAAGTCTGGAAAACTAAATCTTAAGCGATCCCTTGAGTGCTTTTCAGTGACTTCTTAGCCATCATCAGTTGAAAATTCAATACAGATGACAACTCTGAATGTGAGTTAATGTGAGATCAAGCTCTATGCTTGAAATATTTCAGCATCATATTTAAAAATGTCAAAAGGAGAAAATTTAAGTAGCAGCATAATTGAGTATTCATGTGAATATTAACAGTTGTTTTTTTAAGTGAATGCTTATCGAGAGCCTTTTTCTAACTCATATGAGATGCATACTAATTGACCACTAAATACTGCTTAGTGAAATTCTTTTTAATATTGGCATTGTATGTGCCCCGTCCTTGAGTCAATAAACAGTCATTAAGAACCTATCGTATTTCCTTAATGCAAAGCTTCACTCTAGAAAATTTTTGTTTCTTCAGTGGATGAAAGCGGAGGACTCTTCTAAAGTTAGTAGTGGAACACCTATCAAAATTGAAGATCCAAATCAGTTTGTTCCTTTAAACACAAACCCGAATGAGGTACTAGAAAAGAGAAATAAGGTAAGACAAGGTCTTGTGTGGCCAAGGAGGCATTTTTATGCTGTTTTATGTTTAAATCACTAGTGATCGGATCTGATTAATACCAAACTTACAGGTTTAAATACAGAAGAATTTGAAATTTAATTCAGCATGATTTCAGCTTGTATTAAACACCACTAGTTCTGTGCTAGTCACTGGTGAGCGAGCTACCTGGGGAGGAAGCACATTTCTGCTGTTAAGAGCTGGGGTATTAGTGAAAAAGGCAGTTCTCTAAAGTAAGACACTCTAAAGTAAGACAGGAGACCACGTGCCAAGAAGGGTGGAGGAGAGTAATTGAGTTGTTAGGATGGTAAAGGAGGGCTTTATGGAGGTGGGAATTAAACGGGCTCTTACTGGGTGGTCAAATAGTAAAGGTCATCGTATAGTTGCCCCCAAGAACTTGTTGCTGTTTTTCAATTCAGATTCGAGAACAAAACCGATACGACTTGAAAACAGCAGGACCGCAGTCTCAGTTGCTTGCTGGAATTGTTGTGGACAAGCCTCCTTCTGTAAGTTCATGAAGCAGCATGAACTTTATTTTCATCTACCACATTAATTTCTTTGCTTTTTAAACATGAATATTTATTTGTACTAGAGTTAATACAACCACAAGTTAAAAAGTCAAATAATGCACAAGACTTTAAAATGTCACCTTCAGTTTTTAGTTTCCAGGGGCAAGGACTTTCTTCTACCATTTACCTTCAAGTTTCTAAAGAGCATCTTTATTCTGCTTTTTCTTAACTTCCCAATTTTAGACCTCAACTGTATTTCATCAAACTGTGTCATCAACTAAAGAAGTACCATTATTTTATGCATCTCTAAAAGAGAAATAATCTTGACAATTATAATCGTAAGAAGCCATCAATTATAAGATGAATCCCAATTTCAGAGATGGGAAAATGTGGAGGACATGTACCTCTCAGAATTAATGGAAGACAATCTTGCCTTTCTTTCATGAAAGATGAGAATTGAGCCTGTTTACACAATGCTTCCCTTTTTCATTCCCCCAGTAAGGTTAGATCACAATTTTTTTATTAATCAGTTTTCAGTGTTTATATTATTAAACATTTACTGCTGACCCAGGTAGTATTCTGTGATTACATTTCCTTTCTTCTACAACTTTCCTCCCCCTGGAGTTAATAATTACCTTCTTTTTCCATTGGCTTAGTGTTTTGAGTACATTGGCTTAATTCTTCCCAAACTTTTTAACAGAATTATAGAGTCCCCCTTAATATGATTTCCCATAGGGTAAAAGGTAACAGGCGATTTCTCAGTTCCAGGCTCCTGTCATTCGGGCTCAGATCTGGACCGCTGGCTCTCAGGCCAGCTGCGCAGGCTCATCCTGAGCATGTCCGTGCTTCTCACCTGTGTAGTATCCTGTTCCCTGCATCGTGTGTCTTCCACTTTCTTGATTTACTCCTTTATCACTAAGTGCATCCTCTAATAATTTTCCGAGAAAGGATACATATAGGAGGTAACCATCTGAAATCCTGTCTTCTACCTTCATATGTGCAAATCATGGATATAGAATTTTAGTTTAGAAATAATTTTCCCCCAAGTATGAAAAGTATCCCTCAATTGTCCCCTAATTCCATGCTATTATTGTTGAGAAGTGGAAAAGTATTGTGTTTCATGTACCTTCCTCTGACACTTTTTTTTTTCCTTTTAAGCCTTTTATACATTCCTGCTGTTCTGAAATTTTATGATGGTCTGCTTTGTGGTAGATTTCTTTTTAGTCTTTGTTCTTAGCATTTAGTAACACTTTTCAATCTGTAGAGTCATATCCTTCAGTTCTGGGATTTTGGTTTTTTTAAGTATTTCCTCAATAGTTTTTCCCCTCCTATTTCTTTCTTTTCCTGTCAAGATACACTGTTAGTTAGACCTCTTTGACAGAGCCTCTGATTATTTTCTTTCCTACTTTCTATCTCTTTGTCTTTTTATCCTACTTTCTGGAAGATTTGCTTGACTTTATTTTCTAACCCTTCTATTTAATTTTCTATTTTGATATCTTCTTTTTTTCAATTTTTATGACTTCTTATTTCCTGACTATTTCTTTTTAAACAAAAAATAGTAACACCCTGGTTTTTTACAGGTACAATTTTTCTCTTATTGCTATAGGGAATCAAATCTAAATTTTCTTCAGCTGCCTTTATTTTCTTTGTTTCTTCTGAGTTCCCTTTTTCTTGTTTATTCTGGTCTCTCTCATCCATGTTGGAAATTTTCCTCAAGTGTCTGGTAATTCGAAGTAGTCTGTTTGTAGTTAAGATTGAGACACTGAGAGCCAATCAGAAGCACTGGGCATGTGCAGAGCTCGTGAATGGGGGAGCTTTCATTGTAGGGTGATCAGATGTGGATCAGATTGTTTCTCTGGGGAATCCCCAAACGTTAATATCTGTAGTTCTTTTGTCTGAGGCCATTTGATTTATCTGGAGAATTCTCCGGTCTCCTGCCAGTCTCCCACCCACATTCTGAGAGCCCTCAGCTGCGCTTTGTGTCCCCCAGTCAGTTGTTCTCTGCAGAGATGGGAGAGAGGTAAATGCTTGGCTGTGTGGAATAGGAAAGGGGACCTGAGAATCCATCTGTTCCTTATTCAGACTTTAAACATGTGCCCCTTTTCAGCCCCTCTTCACCCCAGCTGTGTGTGCTACCTGGTGCCTCTGGTTTCGGAGCCCCCGCCCTCCACGGGGTGAACCAGCATTGCTTCTCCTTTGCATCCTCCTTCGCTAAGGCTTCAGCCTTCTCAGCTCTGCTACCCACTCTTCCACCTGCTCTCCACCTTCCGAAAATGTCCTCTGTTGCCTCCTCTCCTAGTCTCTTGTCCTTCAAAGTTTATGCTATTTTTGTTGTTGTTCCGTTACTATCATTTTAGTGGGGTTTTGAGAAGGATTTGTTTAAATGCATGGGTTCAACCTGCCAGGTTTAACTGAAAGTCTCATTAATTCCTTTCCTAGAGCAAGTTCTTACAAGTTTATTTTCATAGCAAATTTAAAGTTCTTTTGGTACAGTTTCATTATTCTAATCCTTTTTCACAAAGGCATTTTATCTTAAAAACCAATTCTTAAGATATTTCTTAGTTATGTGAAGCTTATTAGAACTTGGCTTAGTTTTGTTTTATTTTTTTTAGAGTTATTAAAATACAGGCTTATTGAGGAAGCATCACTGGCAGTCTTAGTCCATTGGATCAGTAGTCTAAAAGCACTAATCTGAAACGAGTATTTTAAACAGAGCATGTTGTTTTATCATCTGTTATGATTGTTATAAGGTGAGATGTCACAAACATCATATATACATTTATGTATACTATATGTATGTATGTGTGTGAAGTGGTGTATATATATGTAAATATATACAAATGTACAGATATAATAAGTAAAGCTCTTGATAACGAGCTGATGTTTTTCTTTGCAAGACCATGCAATTTGAAGATGACGAACTTGCCCCATCAGCCCCTCCCAACCCCTTTAGCCATCTCACAGAAGGAGAACTTGAAGAGTATAAGAAGACAATCGAGCGTAAACAGCAAGGCCTGGAAGGTGAGCTCATTTTTAGGTGAAGCCCCGATACCGGGGCCCCTTGAGTTGGGTGATAGAAGGCAGTCGGTGTTTTTTGAAAAATGTTCCTTTTACAATCGATTGTTCTGTGTCGCCTCTCCCAGTCTTGAGTCTGGGGTGACGCTGAACTGCAGAGAGCTACCAGGGACTCTGTATGTTAATATGCACTGAAAACTTTTCCTCAGAAATCAGCCTGATTGGTAGCAAAAAGTCTTCAAAAGTAAAGTGAAATCCCCAGATGAGTAAAGAATTCCTAGCTAAAGTCAATGTAGATACATTAATAGATTTGAACATCTCAGCATACTTGGTTTTTTAAAAACTTTTTTCTTTGACATCATTATAGATTCACAAGTATGCAGCTTGAATGCTTTGTGAAACCTCACTTGTTCTTGGGTGTCTCAAGACATCAATATTGTAATTTCAAAATCAAAATATAAAGCAAACTGCTAGAATTTTGATGTGATTTTCCTTAAGCACATGGGCAATCTAGTTAGGTTGAGCTTTTCTGACTTCAAAACCCTAAATAAGGATTATATTTTAGAATTATTAATGAAAACACCCCAACTAGAATACTAACTTCCTTTTTCTCAAGAATAAGAGATTCTTTTTTTTTAAAGATTTTTTATTGGTGAATTGGGGGGATGGGAACAGTGCTGGGGAATTGGGGGAATTGGGACAGACAAGTTGCTGTCATTTTGTTCTTCAATCTAGTTGTGGAGGACGTTGCTTCACTGGCCCAAGTTGGCACCATCATTGCGCTCTTCCCGGGTGAGGCAGATCAGTCGCTGGCTTCTGGACGGCCGCTCACTGCGGCTGCTGGCCGCTCACGCTGGCTGCTGGCTACACACGGTAGCCCATGGCAACCCACTGCCACAGGGACTGCAGCCCACGCCGTCGTCGGCGACTCACAGCAGCCCAGCTCCAGGTTGAGCTGTTGTTCACCATCTTAGCTGTAGAGGGCAGTGTCACTGGCCCTCATATGTGGGATCCGAACCAGGGCCCTCTGGCTTCCCAAGCGAGTTCTTAACCATCGCACCACTCGGCCGGCCCAGAGATTCTTTGTAGGAGTAGTAGTCACTCTTGGGTCTATGTGGAAAATATATGCTTAAATATATCTGGAAAATATATGCTTAATTGTGTACGATATATATTTGGGGAAGGGGGTTTCAGGGTGGGGGACAAGAAGTCTGTGACCCCAAAAGAGAGTATGAGCCTCTGCTTTAGAGTATCTACACATACAGTTGGAATTTTTACGCAAAGCAAAACAGAACCAATAGTTAAAGAATTTTTGTCCGTATTAGACATCATGTAGAAAGAACTAATGACATTTGCATCATCCAGGGAACAGTTTTTATCAGTATTATTAGTGTCATCACAAAAAGGAATCATCCTGACTCATTAATGTAATTATACTAAATGTTCTAAATGGTATTATGGAATTTGTTTATTCTAACATAAGGTTGGAAACTCTGTTTGTGTATTTTGTAAAATTTTCTTCTTTAATCTTTTATTTTTTGAAAGCCTAACGATGCCAGGTAACAAATATTGCACTCTAGAACCATCACCTTTTATATATAACTTTATAAGCAGTTTCTTCCACATTCATTATGACCTCCTGAATTAGCTCACTAATATTGCTGTGATGGGAATCACTAATTGGATATTGTTCAAAAATTCAGTGAAGCATTCTGCCTCATTAATGTAGCATCATTGGTGAGGCTTCATAATTCTTTTCATCTGGCTGTTCAAATATATTTTGGTTTTCTAACACCCTTAGCAAAAGCTAAATGCGCACATATTATTTGCCCGGGCTGCAAGTAGCTATACTCCCTTAGTAAGCATGTATGTAAAATTACTGGTAGCGGCCAGAAGTTCTAACACATTAACCTCCTCCTAATGCATAATTATTGATATATGGGGTAACTGTTAGCATGCTTAGCTCATCACTGAAGAGTTTCTCATCTCTGTGTACACAGGTATTTGATGTATGCACTAACCCCCCTGAAATCTTACGCTTCTTTGTTTTGCATGGCTTTTAACTAAACTCTTATCCAACAGATGCTGAGCAGGAATTACTCTCAGATGACGCTTCATCTGTTTCACAAATTCAGTCTCAAACTCAGTCACCGCAAAATAGCCCTGAAAAATTAGAAGGTATTCAATGTAATTTCCCATAGCATTCACTGAGTTAATCTAAAGAATTTGTTTATCTGTGCTTTGTTTTTATGTAAGGAAATTGAACTCCTAATTGCAGTAAGTTTGCCATGGGTTACTTAAAGCTCTCAATTAGTTTATACTTTTTATTAAATGGGGTGATACTTTTGTTCAACATTTATATTGACTTACCTTAATCTGGATTTGGGGAACCCATAGTTCTTAAGAATTTGTGAAATTAAAATTGGTTTGTCATATGTCTTCCAATCAGCAGCATGAAATCCTTTTCAATTTTGATTGCCAAATGACCCCCAAATTATAGAAAAATACCTGTTGTGCTCCCTCATTTATTTTGACTGGATTTACAATGAAACCATCAAATTACCAAGCTGGACTTATCTTTTCTTCCTTCTTTGGCCTAACAACTTTGTTCCCTTCCCCTTCATACTATTTAAGAAAAGTAGCCTCGTGCTCATAGATCCATAGTCTATTAAAGTAATGATCTGTCTTGATTGGAATTAAAGTAATGCCTTAGTGCATTGCTAAAACATTTCAGTTTTGTAAAATAAAGCAAAGACGTTAACTATATAAAATAACCAAAAATCCCTCCCCTTTTGTAGAAAACCACGAGCTGTTCTCCAAGAGCTTCATCTCCATGGAGGTGCCTGTCATGGTGGTGAACGGCAAGGACGACATGCACGACGTGGAAGACGAGCTTGCTAAGCGGGTGAGCAGGCTAACCACAAGCACGACCATAGAAAACGTCGAGATTACCATTAAGTCCCCAGAGAAAATTGAAGAAGTCCTGTCACCTGAAGGCTCACCTTCAAAATCACCATCCAAGAAAAAGAAGAAATTTCGCACTCCTTCTTTTCTGAAAAAGAACAAAAAAAAGGAGAAGGTCGAAGCCTAAATAAAGTCTTTTTATAATTATTATTATTACAGTATGACATTGCACATTTAAATACCACATTTAAGTTGATCGATAATATGCAGTGGTAGATCAGATTGGGGGTATGTAGCAAACTGGACTTTAAGAACTGGAAAGGGGTTTTACTAAAAGAAAAACATATTATGAAAAAAACTCTCAAATTCATCTCTCATTTTATATGTCAAAAAAAAAGGTTTTGAATTTTTAAACAATTGCAGGTTTTAATTAGCTCTGCCCTCATGAAGTATTATAATTCACCGCAAACAGATATCTGTCTGAATTACTTCAGGCCTTCTCTATAATATCTGTTGGAAAGAAATTACCAGTGAACACGGGAGAGAATTTTTATTTCTCAACACCTGCTTCACTTGGTAATCAGATTATAATTTTTTATCCTTGGTTATCAACTGTACCTTCTTGGTCCCCATTGTTTCAATGGGCATTAACAGGATGCTTTAAAAGCTTCTAAGATAAGAATCTATAGCATTAGTATACACTGGCACATAATTTTTTAAAAAAATATATAAGAAAAGATTCATTTGGAATTTTATTCATAGTATAAAATTTCCTCACCGGAAGTAACTTTGTTTGCCAAAAAAAGTCATTTTAGTAAACTATAATTTTTGAAAACTTCCTTTTTTATTAGTTTAGAAAGCCCCTTATTTTTCAACGAAGGGGATTTTGTATACATAACATGAGTTATTTAGTTTAACTCGGGCAAAAACAATTTTTGTATGTTGAGGTGTTTGTATACCATTCAGTATAAAAGTGTCATAAGCATATTAGCCAATCACTTAACAATAGAGCAGATTTGAGGCTGCTTGGTACTAAGCATACTTCAATATAATTAAAGAATCCAGGGACTTGGTATCAAAAGGGGATTAGAGCATTCAAAGGTATAACTAGATTCATATTTGAACATTATAATGTATTTTTCTCTTAGTATTGCTAATGAATGAAAACGCTCTCACATGGCAACCGAAGGAGAAAGAAAGTGTAAAGGGAAGGGAACAAAAGAGGTGTCACAAAAATAAGAATTCTAGTTTGATAATCACTCCTAGTCATGATAGGATTTGAAATGTAAATTATTTGAAACATGTCCCAAATTTACTAAAATTCTGCTTCTCTGCCAAAAATCATTGTATTTCTTGGTTGATATTTCAGTTTTAAAAGGGTCAAATCTCTTAAGTGATCTATCTTTAGAAGGCAGTACTAGAAGAAATTGGTAGGTCTAATCCCCCACAGTAAGAAAACTACCACTTCTTGATTTTTACAAAATTTTCTTATCTTTTCAGTTAACTTTCTAATGTAAATACAAATTTAAACCTAGGCTTAATATAGTTTTTTCCCCCTTCACCTAAGTGATGTCACAAATCGATGTAAAATCAATGATCCAAAATGGTCAGTGGGTAAAAATAATCCAAAGTGTTTCTGGAGGGTGAGCTGGCGTGTCAAGCATTACATTGATTACAGTGTGTTCTGAGCTGGTTCTGTTTGACTAGACCGTGTATGATGATGCGAAGTTGAAACAGAGCCAGAAATTTCATTCTAGATCTCACTAACTACTGGAATCTGTTTTAATCTCTTAGTGAAAACTTTCAGTTGCTTAATTCTGTATTTGAGGATTTTTTTTATGTTCTACATCATTTATGTTGTATTACATCGTATGTAGAAACAGTAACCTGTGAACTGTGCTTTTCCATAACTTTTTAAAAATATATATATCTTAAATGAATGCAGTGTGCATAAATATTTTTTAAACTACAACAGTGAACTATTTGCACCTTTTGCTAATGCCTCTATTTACTTGCTTTGGCATAAAGAATGAGCCAATGAACTTCTGTGTCCTGTGGAAAATGTATAAATGTTATCTGATATTGCTCTTAGATGTAATGCTAATTAATGTTAAATCACAAATAAACAGTATTTTAAATAGATGGATTTGGAATCATGAGCCTTCAATTTAGGGTCGTTATTTAGCCTGAATTATTTTGTGGACTGTTGAGTTTTATACTGCAGTGAGGTTTTGAGTAAGATTGATGCTTCTGAATAAGGGATGTTCTGATAAATTTATTTTCAAATTAGTTGAAAATTAACTATATACAACCCTTCTTGTTTCAGCTTACATTGGAAGAAATATACTTGAAGTGACCAATTTTGTTGTCTTCGTAGGGTACGGTGACCATAACCATGTCTCTGAGATCTAAAGATCTTTGAAGGAGTTAGTATTCCCAGTCTCAATTCTGCTGTTCATATCTAATGATGTAGAATTGAAAATATTACAGAATATGTGCTGAGTTTATATACATTACCCTCCTCTTTGATTTTTATTTATGTAACTATGTGACAATACAGAAAACAGAACAGAAAAATGGTTACAATTCTACCACATTAAAATTCAAAAAAATTTTATTCCCTTCCAGCTCTTAGTTATATATGTATTTCCTATATTGGTTATCATGGTGTGAATTTAGTTTTATTGGTTTTTTTTCCTACTTAACATAGCATAATCCATCCTAGAAGATTTTTAAACTAAATCCCTCACATGAATTATTTCTTATGATTTTTTTTCCACTTTGTCCTAAAAATAAAATGCAAGAGGAGAAATCATGTTAATTGAGGGTTCTGGTTAATTGAAGTTTTTACTATAATTACCCATTATAAAAATGAAGGGTTTGGGCAGAGAAGAATACATTCGTAGTCTTGGGCATATTTAATTATTACCTTGGCTTGTAAATAACCCTGTGGTGAAAAATTGCTGTTTTAGAAAGATGCTCATTTCAGAATTCCCTTTCATAAAGCAACAAAAACTATTATCTTCAGTACTCACTTGAGAGTCGATGCAGCATGAAAGATAATGTTGCCTGTGCCTTTTCTTCTATTGATTAGTATTTTTATTCAGCAGGGAATAAAGAGAACCAAATGGATCAAATTGTGACAGCATTGCTTTCTCTTAACATTGGCTCTTCTTTTTTTTTTTTTAATTAAATTTATTGGGGGTGACAGTGGTTAGTAAAATTCCATAGGCTTCCAGTGTACAATTCTATAGTACATCATCTGTATATCACATTGCGTGCTCAAGGCAGAAAACACATAAAGGCAAGCTGATTATTTTTTTTTAAACTCAAGGGTAATACATACACATGTAAGTTGCAGCCTTGACTAAGCCAGGGTTTCAAAAAGTCTCCTTTGTGGCCACTAGAGGGTGCAATAGACCTAACAATCCAGTATGTTTCCAGTCCTTGGCGTTAAACTTCCGTTTTCTTAGTCTGTAGGCACCACCATGTTTGTTGTTAAATGCCCAGACTTGGAAGAGAAGACATTTCCTTTGTTACTTTAAATCTTTCCCCTCGCTTGACTGTTCTCAACTTTGTTGTCTCATTTCGCCAATACAAACACCACCAGCAGGGACTCTGATGTCTACGGAGAACACACTGAAATTTTTGAGGTATAGTCTCAGAAAGAAACCGTGATAGAAAATGAGTCCTCAGGGACGTCTTCATGCCTGTGAGTGGCAATATAATGCCTCTTTTAAAATAATTGGCATTTTTTTAACTGGGGAGATAATTGATAATATTACTTGTTGGTGCCTTCTATGTATCAAAGGTTATGCTAAGTGCTTTTCATGTGTTAACCTCATTAGCCTTCTCACCATCCCAACAAAGTAGATGATATTGTCATTTTGTAAATGAGCCTAGGGCTTGTACAAAACAAAGGAGGTGCTAGTATTTCACCCATAGAGATCCAGATTTCTAAAATGACTAGTGCCCTTTGTGTGCAGACCCTCTGTGGCCGCAGTGTATGTTTTTGTGTTTTTTTGTTTTTGTTTGTTTGTTTTTAGGAAGAGGCAGTTTTTTTAGTTTGGACTATAAGTCCAGCCATGGCAAATTCATGTTATGATACAAGATGGGATATAGATTTTAGATAAAACACGAACTTTTGATTTCAAAGACATTTTTTCAACAAGTCACCCCAAGAATGAAGAAATGGATGAATACCTGGAAAGTGGGAATGATCTGTGGTGAAACCATCCTTTAGGATAAAGAGCCAGCTCTTAAATCTTCAGCACGACACCTGGAAGTCAAGGTATCTATACCTTTACTTAAGACGCAAAAAAAGACTTGGGTAGAGTCCCTTTATCTTTTATTCCCTTTCTGATTTCCAATGTTGGGGTGAGAGAGACATTCTAAGGAAAGTTATTTAAAAAGCTGAAAAGACTTTAGTTCTTGAGGTAAAGTTAAGTATACTGTATCTACTTAGAAACTTTATTTAGATGAGTATACTTGGAGAAAAAAACTAGCGTACATGCTGGAGACAAGAACAGGGATAAGCCTTTGGGGAACTTTCTATAGAAAAAAACCATTTGGAAATTCAACAGTTTTCAAAGGGATTTTATTTCTGAGATGACCATTAGGGGGCAATCCTGGGTCTAAATTTAGTTATCGTTAATTAAAGGAACTTCCTTCAAAATATCTGAGCTTGGATAGAGAACGTCATCCTGGCTCTGCATTGCTAGACACAGTTTAAGGCTGAGGATAGTTTATAGACACCAAGTTGCTTCGTTTGTTCCTTTCATCTTAGTTATCTTGTTCTGACAGGAAGAATCAGTCCTCTGGAGAAGCAGTGCTTATCTGACATGCAGCCCAGAGGTGACTAAGCCAAAATTCAAGCAAAGGTCTCAAGTCTGTATCTCATACTTTTCTACTTACTGACATCTCCCTTGGAAGCCCATCAGATCATAACCTAAGAATAGATAAATACACAATGTTCTAAAGTCCTTTGCAAATTAATGTTTAGAACTTTATTATAAGCATAGTTAAGAGAAACATACTGCAGGACCAAGCCTGTTTCTTACTTATCAATAATTGTTTTTCTGAAAATTTCATGTCAGATATTCTGGGAGAGTCTTTTGTGTATTTTCTCAAGTTAATCATGATCTGAATTCTTTACTGCCGCAAACTGTAATATTTTAAATGCCATTTATACCTTAAATGACCACTGGTACCTTTTGATATTCCTTCCATAGGAAAAAAAAAAGAATTTATTTTATTTAGCAGAAAAATAGATGGATATATATCCATTCCACAATTATTTTTATGGCCTATTTAATTTCTGGTTGGGTAAGTCTTGACCAAAGCAAAGATGAGGTTATGGATTAAGCTAGCTTTTGTTTTATTCCTATACAAACTACTTTAGGTTTTGTCCTTCTCTAGGGCAGGTCTTGACCTTGCTTATAATGTTAAAAAAAAATTTTTAATCCCTTATTTTCAGTCCAGGTAACTCCTGTCACTAGACAAAGTACTGGTTCCTTGCTAAACTGTGTATTTGAAGACAATAGCATTGATTTTATTAATCTAATTTGGATGTACACTGAAGAATATTAAATTTCTAAGACACCATTCTGAAATTTTTTAATGTGTTTTTGAAACAACAAATACGGACCAATATATAATACAAACTCTTGTAGACAAGAGTTCTTTCTCATTGTTTGTCTGCTTATGTTAGCCTGCCCCTCAAAAAGCCAGTAAATATGTGAGCCCTACGGAAAGACCAACTTGGAGAGTTACTCAATTGGACTTCTTAGACCAATTGATATTTAGATTGAGATTTTTCAAGAAAAAGCCTTGGACTTCCCAAAGCAGTGATATCCTAATAGATGGGAATGGAAATGAGGCAGTCTTACGGTTATAAAATGCAGGAGTTACGATGTAGACTATTCTGTGAGTTTCCCATTGGCACTCTTGACTTAAATCATCTTTTCTGGGTTTAAAAGACAGTTGGTAATGACAGTCCCTGGCTGGACCTGGGGCTGCAGTGCTGCTAGAACCTTCTCAGTGACTTGCCAGACTAGTGTCTGTCCTTACTTAACATAGGGCTTTTTTTTTTTTCTCTCGTAAGCAGGATTTAAACTAATTGTTTTTTCCAAAAGCAATTGCTTCTGAAGATCTTTATTGAGCAGGAGCTATGGAGGAAGTCTTTGTTGCACTCTATAACTCACCCCTTTCCTGTTGAGTAATGCTCTCAGGGCTGGACTTCAGTGGTGCCTGGCTTGATAGCCTTTGACTTCAGAATAGATGACCTCCTGACAGCTTTATGAGGGAACATGGACATACAGCCAATTTGTTGGCAGGCACAGGCATAGTCTTCCAAAGGTGTTTACTGGGCTAACAAGTTAAGGTTAAACATTACTTCCTACCTGATTTCTATTTTAGAAATGTTGGCTTCAGTTGTTTCAATGGAAATAAAGGTCATTTGAGGCTATTAAGATGACCCAAAATGCATTCCAAGTATTTACTGGTCCACAGTGGGAGAGGAGAGGCCCCCACTGCACCCGGATGTTTGAGTGTATTAAGCCTTTTTAAAAAATATGTTGTGCGGTCATTGTGAGATGTTTTCATTTTTAGAATTATCTTTTAAATAGTTTTCTATTTTAAAGTCATGTATATGAGATGCTTTTGCATCGGTACGTTCTCATGTCTCCGTTTTGACCTTTAGGTTAACATTGAGCAAGAGTACATGCACACATGCTTGCTAAAGCCAAGCTGAACATGGCTCAATTAACTGCAGGAGGAGCAGGGCAGACTGGGTGGGGCAAGCTCTGGAATTCTACCCACTCGCTGAGCAAAGGCAGGCAGTAGGGGAACAGCTTGAGCTGAAGCAGCTAGTAGGAAGTCCAGCCCAGCAGGTGAACCATGGAAGCTGGAGAACGTGGCAACCAACCAAAAGCACAATCTGGTGAAGTGGTCTGTACCAGGGAGGCAGGAGGCCCCGTCAGGAATCTGGTGCAGGAAAGCAGGACTGCAAAAGCCTCGTAGCGCTTGTGGGAGCCCCAGCCAGCAGCGCTTCCTCTACTTCCTGTGGGGCAATGGCAACATCAAGGCAGGACCTCAGGCTTCCCGGGCTGAGTATAGTTCTTCAGGACAGGAACTCAGACGTA